ATCAATGTGTGATGTTTGCACCAAAAATACATTAGAAATCAACTCACAAGTTTAGAGTTCAATGGTACTCTTTAACACTTTATTTTCATTTTTGTGCAAATGAAGCTTTGCAGTAGTTTTCCACAAGTAAGTTTGTCAGTTTTTTTGCCAGCGCTAACTATTGACGAGTGTTCAAGTCATAAACAGTTACTGTAATTATAACCTGCAGTGTGCTTATGTACTGTAAATGTGTATGTGTGTGAGGTATAGATATGTTATGAATGCTTCCTGTGAGACATTACAGACATTTCAACTCTTAACTTTTGTGAAACTGACTGAACTTTTTCTTGCTTGCTGCAGGGAGTCTTCATGTACATAACAAACCGGCACGACTTTGGGAGGCTCATTTCCACAGCCAATTATAACATTTCCCATTATAACAATGACTTGTGGCAGATATTTGAAAACCCTGTGGTAAGTCATTATGATCTCTCATTATTCTTCAAGCAGGAAAAAAAAAAAGAAATTTTTTGGAATAGCTGAGATAAACAGCAGCCACCTGAAAGGTTATTAGCCATAATGGAAGGATTGCAGATGTGAGACAATTTTGAAGTAATGACTCCAGTGTGATAAGACTCCTGACTGATAAGGCTTTGTGATTTATTTCTGTATCTGGCACGCTGGGACCTGCCCCGTGGGAGAGGGGATTATCTCTGTGAGGAATGCAGGTCAGACAAAAAAAAAAAAAAAAAAAGAAAGGCCACTAATCTGAAATTCTCTCTCTTTGCAGGACTGGAAGGAGAAATACATCCACAAAAACTACTCTAAAATTTTCACTGAGAACTACATGGAGGAGGTTTGTGTTTATGTGTGTGTGTGTATGCATGTGATCGAGACAAAGACAGAGACAGTGAAAGAGAATGACATACCGCACAGAAATCCCAACATCTGTTTTAATCATATATGTGTATTACATTACAGTAACTACAGCTCAAGGTGAAGGTGTGACTCAAGTCTATTCTCAGAGGTCTGACTGTGTGTGTGTGTGTGTGTGTGTTGCAGCCTTGTCCAGATGTGTTCTGGTTCCCAGTATTCTCAGAGAAGGCCTGTGATGAAATAGTTGGAGAGATGGAGCACTACGGTACCTGGTCTGGAGGCAGACATGAGGTCAGTACTGTTAGCCCCTCCTGTGGTTATGTTCATTCATCTTTATAAGTATAAGAATGTGTGAATAATGTAGTTGTGTAATTTTATTATTATTATTTCTAGGTGCACAGAGCTAAATGCTAACATGCTGATTTTTAGTAGGTATAATGTTTACCGTGTTCACCATCTTAGTTTAGTGTGGAAGCCCATGTGCTTTAGGGATGTGCTAACACTGTTAACATGGTAATAGTAATAATAGAATAATAGAATTATTTTAACAGTAAATAACCCCACCAAAAGTTTGTGACAATAGGTTGACATCATTTCCAGCAATGGCGTCACACAGTCAGCACAGTTGGAAACACCAAGGCTTATTTTCTAACCTTCAAAAGAAGCCATTTGCTGTAGTTTATTCAGCATGCATAAA